ACCACCCTGCCTCCAACTGTAGCCAGTGTTGGCTAAGAGACAAAGGCTATGAAAGGATGGCAAGCATACAGTTAAGCTTCACCTGGTATGATCTCCCTGCTTCCAGTAATCTGAAGGCTAGAGATTTCCTGGGCCAGAGATTGTATCTTGGTGTTTAGTAACTTGTGATGGATTTTTTTCATTGACTTATCTACCCACCTGGACTTCTGGTATTCATAACATCCTGTGGCAATGAGTTCCACAGCTTAATTGGTGTGGGGAAAAAAATACTTCTTTTTGCTTGTTTTAATCCTGCCGTCTGGTAATCTGGTGTGCTAATCGACAATTTGCTGCTCCCGAGTTCTTCTATAAAGTGAACGAGCATTCCCAATTCCGTTCTCCATGACAGAAGTGATTTTATAGAGCTCTGTGACATTCCCTCCCCATTGTCTCTCTTTCCAGGCTGAAGAGTCCTTTGAAGTCCTGGGAAATATTTGAAGGCAGTTTTGAAATGCTTTGGTGAAGGACTCTCCCTGGGAAATGCTGAGCATTTGAAAGTCTCCTCACTGACACCACCTGTACTGCACTGGTTCAGCTCTGGCAGAGTTGAGGAAAGGTTCTTTGTAAGTGGTCATGGAAAATGAGAATATTCAAAATTGTCCCGGACTCTGCTGGAAACCTCCTGGATAGGACTTGTAGTGCAAAATATTCTTACTTTGACCCCATAGTGGCCTCATTCTGGCTGCACCACATACAGGGTTCTGGAGCACCATGCTGGAAGGGGTTCAGCCTGCCAGCTAAACAGGGCTGGGCTGTTGAGACACCTTCTGTTAGTGATACTGCATCCCGCTGTGCCCTAAATTTGTCCTGAACAGACTGCTGACACATAGCCACCTTTCATCTGCTGTGGTCACTATGGCAAAGCAGAGCAACCACATCCCACTCGGGGTGATGTTCCATAGTGCTGGGCCAGGAAGGGGCTCCATGACTTAGGCTCCTGCTCCAGGGTGCCTTGTTAACAGCCTTTCTGGAGAGGGAAGGGAACATAATCTCTCTGTGGAGTGGGCAGGTTGAAACCAGGCAGCAATATTTGATTATTTGCACATGGATATAAAAAGGTTGGGATTAAGAGGCAGTATATTTCAAAAGAAATTAGCTAGCAAGACATGTACGTTTAATGTTTATGCTTTGGAGATTAAGACACCAGGCTGGAACTTGGGATATCTGGGTTAAATCCCAGCTCTGTCAAAGACATCTCAGAACATGCTGGGCAGGTTGTGTAAGGTAATACTTTCAGAAAGGACTCAGGATTTGGGAGCTTAAATCCAATTGACTTTGAGTAACTTCCTAAGTGTTTAAGGACAGGATTCACAAAAAATACTGAGGCATTCTGATACTCAGCATTGCGGCATCAGCTGGCGTGCGCCACAGACCTTGGGCAGAGCAGTGTGTGCTTTGAGAAGGCACTTCAGCATGTGAGGAGGCCTGTAGGTGACAACTGGGGACTGCTGGAAAGCAGAAGTTTGTGCAGGGCCCGCGGTGGCTGAGCACCTCATACAATGGCACTCTGGGCTTAATGATGGTCTCTAGGTGCAACCTCAGCACAGATACATACTAGTAAACGTCTAAGTAGATAGATCCTGTAAGAGCTTTCATATCAGCTCCCTGAGGTGTGAATACTAATACCAACAATCATTAAAAGATTTTGCATATTTAAAATTAAATTAGTTTCATTCTTTAGAATTAAACCATCAGGGCTGTGTTTCCAGCCAGTGAAGAACAGTGACACATCCATTTGCTGGTTGAGCACGTGCCTGATGGGGAGCTGGCTGTGCAGAAGGCTAGTGAGGGAATCCACTGCATGCAGGGACACCACTCACCTGTACAGCTGTAAACCTGCAGCTGTTTGTCCTGCTCCTTTGAAAGAGCAGCCCTAAAGTTCATTTTCTCTCTTTTATACCTTTATTAAGCCTGTCTGGAAACTATGCTTGTTTCATCTCCTGCCAGGATTACAGATGGTAACAGCCAGTTTGATAAGGCCCTCTGAGACCAGCTGTGGCCTGAAAGAAGCTTGAGAGTTCCTTAAGTACCATGTCAGGTGGGCTCTGAGACTGTCCCAGACCTTTGCTTGCTAATTATCCATCCTGCAATGATGGTTAGAGTTTTTGTTAAGGGTGCTTATTAGCGGGGTGCTTGTGAGCAGTAAGAGCCTGCAGCCTGCTCCAAGAACTCCCTGCCTGCGTGAAATGGGTGCAGCTGCCTTCCCTTGGGAAGGACCCTGCTCTCCAGCAGGCAGCGTGGGAGCCCAGCTCACCTCTTCTCTGCTTCCATGTTATACAGCCTCTCGCTCGCCTTTGCCTGTCTGGGACATGCAGCCTGCATCGGAGGCACTAGCTGCCTCCAGCAAGCTGCAAAAGGACAATTTCATAATGAATGAGGGTGGTTTGCTAAGTGGGGGGTCCTGAAGCCCAGCCGTAATTGTGCTGCTGCTTTATCTCAGCCTCACACCTGCTCATGTAATAGCTGGCTGTGATCCGCTCCCTCCCCCACGTGCACACTCTACCCTTCTGCTCCTGGAGGAGCCATCAATTCTCTGGCCCTTTTGCAGTCCCTCGCCTTGCTGCCCTTGCGCGCAGCCTGTGGGTGCGCACAAATTCCCCCTTGAATTGCAGCAGAGCCTCTGGGCTGGCTCTAACAGACGTGACTGCTAACCTGGCTTTCATGTCCTAAATGACAGGGTTTTAAATGAAATCCTTCTGCCCAAAAGAACTCTTAGAGACAGCTTTCTTCAAATGATGTTTCCTTAGAAAACTTAGTCACACAAGAATATTGTATGTATGATTCCTGCCAGAGGGAATACGTGCAGCTTTTTTTTCCCCTGCATGCATTCAATACTGGTGAACATGGTTGGATTGACAGTGTAGGCAATTAAAAGCTTTTGAAATCCAGAGCAGATGGAATTTTATCCAATTTATATGTGGTCTTACTATAAATATACCTTACTGGATTCAGGCCAGTGAACTTCCAATTCTGTGCTTTAACCTTTGGGAGGATGTTACCACCCTTATGACAGTTAGACTGGTAATATTGGCTGCTACTCTGTAAAGGGCACATCTCTTTAATATGAGGATGTAGGGTAGTGAGAGAGTTGACGAAAGCCCCAGCTTGACCTCATGTGGCAACTTACGTGTTTGCATTTTTTCCTTCCTTATGGGATCTCATAGCCTAACATGCTGCTGGCCACCTTAAGTCTCTTCCCCTTAACAAGTCCTCTTTTCAGCTGATAGACTAACTTCACATGAAGGTAAAAGTCCCTGTGTCTTGAACACATGTCCCCTGAGCCCTCTGTCATCCTGTAGGTGCTTCTTTCTTCATACTAATCCGAAATGAGAATCTCAAAATCCAGAAGCGAGAGAGAAAAGAAAGGGCGAGAGGGAGGAGGAAGAGAGAAAAACCTTTTTTCTCTTGAGACACGAATGTCAATAAGTTTGAATTATGGACCTGCTGTAATTAAAAAGCACATAACTAGTTGTTTTTAAATGCAGTTGTTTTATTTAATTGATTTTGCCACCAGGACTGAAGGGAATTAAATAAATAAATAAAATGCACCTTCCTAGTGAATTACTGGAGGCAGCTGAGTCTCTGTTGGAATCTAATTGCTGCAAATGCTCCAGTTTGTTGCTAGCAATAGTTTTCTGTGGAAGGGGCTGGGAGAGAAGGGGTAGGGTGGTGTGGGAGGGGGCTTGTTCCCTGGCAGCTGCAGGAGGGAACAGGCTGCTCCTTATGTAGTATTTTTTTCCTTGTCAGCAAAAAGAATATTCATTTAACACTTTGCATGAAGACTTTGCTTAGAAGGTCTTTATTCATATTTAATTACTAGCTCGCTGCAGCTCCCATCTTTAATTACCTTTTAAAAAGCAGGTTATAAAAATGCACTGACATTCTTTCTTTTTTGTTACTGTGTAAATTACAGGCTTCTCAACTGCTCACCCGAAATCAGTCCAGCCCGCAGGAAGGGTGGGACAGGTTCCCTTTGCTGACTGCTGGATACCTCAAAGCTTGTCTGCATCTTGCTCTACAGAGCAAGACAGAAACCCTCGACTAGCGTTACATGAACTAGCTCCATGCCTGAAACCACATAAGCACATTGGCACTCCCTCTGAGGTAATCACCTGTGTAGAGGGGCCTGGCTAGACATCCAGGCTGATATCACACTACCATGGTAATAGTGTTTCCAGGGCCCAAGCAGCCTGGTGCTAGGTTTTTGCTTCCTGGACATCCTCCTGGTGAATCTGCTTCTTCATCTGCAACTTTCCTTATAGTCTAGTCCTGATTTTCATACCCAGAGCTGCTAATACTTTCCTTTCCTGCCTGCATAGTGCTTTGCTGTCCCCCCCTGGTGCTTTTTATGAGGTGAGAGCACTGGTTACTTTTATTGGAGGCATGAGAAAGTCCATCACATAGAACATGTTTTCAGGCCAAGTTGTCAGAGGTGCAAACTGCAATTTTTGTCCTCTTGCCCTGAATCCAGCTGTTACCACTGCTCCTGTGCTGGCTTTCACTGTGTAAGCTGGCTGATGCTGCTGTAATGCATGGGAACATCAGGGGGTGATGGTGAGTGGTATTAAATATCTGCAAAAGAATTACATGCAAAGGTACAGCTGTTGGCTTCTGCACCCAGTAACAGCCAAGGATGCTGACCATAATTGCTCCAACCTGTTTTCAGGACAGCATGGAGGTGTCCCTCACATACTGCCTGGCCACTCCGTATCCTAGATGAAGTGCACTGCTGGGGCTCTGCCACAGGTTTCCGTAAGCAGAGTATCTTCAGGGCGCTTTGGTGCTTGGCAGGCTTCACTGGGAGGCCAAGCAGTGACAAGGCTCAGGCAAGGGACAGAGGAAGGACAAAAGGGCTGAACCTGCCCACCTTTGGCACCCGCTGTCTCTGGCCTGTGGGCAGAGCTTTCCTTAGGATAGTCTCTGGCACCCCAAGCTGATGCCTCTTTCTCTTCTCTTGGCAGATAAAAGAGCTCTTCCTGAGTTTTGAGGACACTCCCTTGGGAGCAGCATCACTAGCCCAGGTGCACAAGGCAGTGCTGCAGGATGGGAGAACGGTGGCAGTGAAAATCCAGCACCCAAAGGTCCAAGCTCAGAGCTCCAAGGATATTTTGCTTATGGAGGTAAAACTACCTGCTGACTGACTTACAGAGCAATTGCCATTGAAATGTGTGGGGCCACATTCACCCGTGGTGTAAGCAAGTGTAACGCCACCATCCTGTAGCTTTGAAACTTCCACAGAGATAAGTGCTGTCTTACAGGAATAATACAGAAAGTTGGTGAGGATTGCTGTGGGGGTGGTTGTGCAGGTGGAGAGGCTGAACAAGAGGGTAAGAGTGAAGGAAGGCAGGAGAGAAGTAAATATGAATGACATCTGAGTAAATCCATATGAGACTTAGAATTAGAGGGTGAGTCCTGAAGTGTCTCTTCTGCCTGTGTGCCCATTAATTGGTGGATTAAACTGGTCTCCGCTCTCCTTGCAGTGAGGGCTGTGTGGCCAAGGAAAACTCATTCTCCATGATTAGCATGTTTTTTCAGTTAGATTCCAGTATGGAATCAACAGTGGCTGAGCTTGGCTGTGATTCAGTTCTGTTTCTTGATCAATTCCTTAATGCTGAGCTGATTCATGCTGGAAACAAAACCACTGAAATATGGAGAAGGTCACCTAACAGGGGCAGACACACAAATGAGGGATTCAGCTAGGAAAAAAGTTTCAGTGGCTGTGTCCTGTTCCTATCCTGAATGATAGGTACCACTCATGTTCCCACTGCAATACTGTAGCTTCTCCCAGACTTCTAAGTCTAGTCCATTGAAGGGAGGAGCTGGAGAAAAGCTGGGGCACTACACTGCATTGCAGTAGTCAAAGATGCCAGCGGTATGGCAGGGGACAGGAAATGGAGACGGGGCTGAGGTGGAGGAGAGGGGAAGGATTAGGTCTGTAAATGGTAACGCTAAAGCTTTCAACTCTCCTAGTAAGTCTGTATCTGTATGTATAGTAATGTGGACATCCATCGGCAGACAAGTATGGCCATGGGATTAAAGCGGGGAAGATTAAGCTGAGGGGGTCTAATAAGGGTTTAGAAGGTACTGCTGATGCAGTGACACATAGTTCTCCATCACAGGAGATCAGGAGTCAAAGATCTTGCCAGCATCCTCTAAAGCTTCTTTAGGCAGCTAAAACACCCTGCTTTGAGCAATCCTGGCTAGTCTGCAAAGAGACACAGCTGATTCAAGCTAAAGCATATCAGTTTGCAGCTGAACATTTATTTTGCACTCATAGTAAAATAATTTTTTGGGTTCAATAAAGATATCCCAGTAAGATGGGATATATTTGTTTCAGTGCTGGTTTGAGAACAGAGAACTGTTTGAGCTTGCTTTGGGTCCAGCTGTAGATTTGGATTTTATTCAGGTCCTCTCCAGGGCTGACTGCAGTGGTATGCCCAACGAGTTTGCTTTTGGGAGTTGTCACAGCAGTTCTCAGGGGGCTTATGGCATCCTTCATTCCTGCCCAGGGCAGGATGGCAGAAACTAAGCAGTCAAGGAAGAAGGATGTGCAAGGTAACAAAAGACTGTGAGACCAGGGCAATCAGAGGATTGTGTATGAATGAGCCAAGACCTAGATCCATCTTGGGACATTTGCCCTTTTAACAGAAAAAACTCACACTGTGTTGCTGTAATTGCTGGTTATACTGGTAAGAGACATTTAAACAAACCATTTTAGAATGATTCCTGTCTTTTTTGGTTTTAGACTAATCCTCCTGGGAAACTTGAAACTAAACTGGCTATTTAGTATTGTCCTTCCTCTACAGGCAGTCTAGTTTGTCATCCTTGAGATCTGTTGTGTACACACAGCTATGGGAAAGTAGCTCACGACATGACACATGCAGTCTTGCTTTTAAAGGGTCTCTTGTGGAGTGTTGGCTTACATGCATCGTCATGCCCTTTTGTGGGACTGTTTTTGTGTAGGCTGTACTGAAAGCCAGATTATGTGCACTGATTCTGATCCTTTAAGAATCAGACAGACGTTGCAGGTAGGTAGGTGGTTGATTTAAATATTGATGGAGATGGTCTTATTTCAAGAGTGATGGGAGGGAATCTGAATGGGAAAAGCTAGATGGAAAATTACTAAATTCACTTGAGGTTTCATAGCATTAGTGCTGACTCTTTAAAAATCAGTACAGCATCTGATAAATCCAGAGGGAGATACCTCACTGCTCTTATATCAATACTTATTTCAAGACAATATGTTAAACAGATGTCAGAAAAGGGACAGGCCAAATACTTGTTAAGTATGTCCCTGCTGATGAGCAAGTTGGCAAATTGATTCAAAAGAGATTTAAAGAAAGCAAAAAACAATGCATGAATTTTTTCACATAAGGCACCAATGAAATAATCCTGCAGCCCCTATAAAGTTTATGTACACGTTCATGAAGATCACTGGTTACATTTCATTTGGGTGACATAAATTTGAAAGGATTTATGCCTCTAGATATAACAGTAGAAAAATCATTCAATAGTGTCTGGAACCTGGTGATTACATTTTTAAAGGAACATTGAGTTTGGAACTGACATTTAGATAAGAGAAGTAGAGATGGAGTGGAGAACAAACGTTTTCACACAGCTGAACAGGAGCAGTGATGGTTCATAAATTTATTTTTTGTCATACATTTCCATGATAGCAGCTCTCTGTGAGGAATTCTCAGTGCGGGAATCCCCACCTCAACGTGGGAGCTCTAGAAAGGCAAACTATCCAGGAACACACACTGACAAGTCTGTTTTCATTTTCAGATGGACGTACGGAACAAGTAAGATAAAGACAGCAAAGTAGATTGCATTTTATGTTTTATTCTTGTTTTATGACTCAAGTAGTTAAAAAAAGCCAAACCAATTATTTTCCTTAAGATGCAGTCTAAATTGTCAGCTTGTGTAAATTTGTGACACTGTTTGAGAAACTGGCCCTTCATTTGAGCAGAAAGCATGCTTGGCTGCTGTGCAATGTTGATTATGCCATCCAACGACATAATCTTGATTTTCTTCAGGAAGGACTGCCCACCACTCGCCCCTTTATTAAATGTTGCTGTAAGCAAATGTTTCCAGGAACTTTTCAGCTGGGCTTTTTAAGGCCATGTGCAGCTGAATACCTAATTACTTTAAGAAGAGGATGCCAGGTGGTGGTTATATGATATTTAGAAAAGACCACCTTTGCATCACTAAGGATGGCTATGACTGACGCTGAGGGGCAAATCTGTCTGTGACGCCCGCCCCCCCAGAAGTGTCCTTTAAAGATCTGTAGCTTACTAACTGTGTCTGAACGCCACTGTCTTCTCTGAACTGCTTGGTGGATTTTCTGTGCTAGCAAAATTCTTGCTCAGCAGTGGAAGTAATGTAGAGGTGACAAGTCTTAATTTACATTTTCCTTTTCTGCGTTATCTGAGGGCTGTTTGCATGAAGCCAAACAGTGACTTGTAGAGTTATAGGACTCAGAAGAGAGTTGCCCCTGGGCCATCTCCTTGGCAAGATCCTCTCCAGGGCTTTGTTCTCTTCCATCTAGGCAGCAGGCAGCAGGGCTCCCTTTGATGTCTGTGCCATCATTCAACTCCTAGATGTGCCTGTGTGGAATGGCAAGCCAACATTTGTGTTGCAGGACCAAGGCATGATACAATGTGTTGTACTATGATACTACAGGAACCCTACAAACACTTGGGATGCAGGCTGGGTTTTTTTTTTTTTTGTCTGTAAGTTACACAGAGTGATCCTGTCAGAACAGTGCTGTGTGTAATTGCGTGGCTTTGGAGCTAGGATGCAGCTGATTGTTTCCTTGTTCTCAGGTTCTCCTCTTGGTTGTGAAGCAGATCTTTCCAGATTTTGAGTTCATGTGGCTGGTGGAAGAAGCTAAGAAGAATCTGCCCTTGGAGCTGGATTTCCTCAATGAGGGCAGAAATGCTGAGAAGGTTGCTCATATGCTCAAGAACTTTGACTTCCTGAAGGTGAGGGAACACATATTCCTGTGTACGTATGTGTATGAATAGTCTCATTTTATGCCTGTTGTGCACCTCATTCACCACCTGGAGGAACCATATAGAGGGAGAATGGAGTTCATTCCCTCTATGTTGTTCATCCTAGACTGCTCTGCTGATATGAACCAGAAACTGCTCTGAGACATGCTTCCTCCTTGTCTGTTTCCTACTGTAGGCACCGTATATTGGATGAGGAGTGATGGCTTGGAGCCAACGGTCTCTGAAGCCTGCTACTCATTTTCCCAAACACTGTTTCTGAACTTGTCTAGAGATCTGTGAATTTGCCATTCTTTGCTGAGCCATCTGATGGTACCTTTTCCTGGGCTTTCTCTCAGCTGAGGGCAAGAAATGGACATAAAACAGAAAAGCTAGACTGAAGCTGATGATGTCAAGTAGGACTGGGGACACTGTGTATCTCAGGAGAAAGCATGTTCATGTAAATCCTTCCTCCTGCCAAAACCCACATTCTCACTCTGGAATTGAGCATACGTCCTTCATACATATCCATGGCTAATGCATTTATGTTACCTTCATACACAAACTCAACTGCACCCATATTGTGCTCTTCCCCACTGAGACTCTTACCCCCCCTTCCCTGCTACACACTGACTAAGGGCACTGACAAATGTCTCAAGTACAACCAGATGTGTACACATCTTGTTCTTGGAAGGACATAAGCTCACATCTTCAAACTTGCACGTGCACAAATCTTTTACTGACATACAAGAGGCAGAAGCCTCCACTGTGTGCATTTTGGAAATACACAAGTACAGTTATACACAGTGCTGTGGGCACAGTCACTGACGTACCTGCATTTGCACATACACAAAGGTAGCAAAAATGCACCCTCCTTTGGACCCTCCTGCATACACACATCAAAATGAGGTTTTCACCTCCTGTTTATGCAGAAGTCCCAAGATGGAAGTGACAGATGTCTGAAATGAGGTGAGTTTTTGTTAGACTTTACAGGCTGATGCATCCATTTTTTCCTTGCTTCCTCCATGCAAGGGCTGTAATTCCTTGTCCCCTGATTCCAAGTTTGGGGCAGTCCTTTTGGAGCCCAGTGGCAGCAGTGGCCTTCTCATAGACACAGATAGCTAAAAGCCACCAGGGCTACAGAAGGCCAAAGGCCAATGATTTTGCTGAGTGGGCACTTATCAGAAGTGATGCACCTTGGAGAGCTGTATCTGTTGCAGCTGTAACTAGGATACTGTGAAGTAAATCCCCATGGAGACGGCCAATCACCTCCTTGCTGGGTTAAGGAGCTATCCTGATATCAATATGTGTAACAATAACAAATGGCTTGAGATGGCTAAATAATGGATCCTCCCGTCTGACCTGCCAATTCAGAGACGTATTCATCACCCAAAGGCAATGGAGGAATTTGGCTACTGTATCATTAATTTTCCTAAACACGCTAGAAAGCCGAGCAGTGGATTTTGTACTGTGAACCTGTTTGAGCTTTTAAAGCCAGAGATAAATTGTTTCCATGCACTAGCGTTACAGCCAAACATCTGTGAGTAATTAAAAAAAATCACTGAAGAATTTGGCTGTGAGTGAGAGAGGCATCTCTGAGAGCATGGATAGTGCTTTACAAGCCCACTGACTTGCCCCTATAAATCTTGAGACAAGACTGAGTGTCATCTGAAGTGATCTAAAGCAGCAGGGATCAGTGAGCTAGATGGGCTGGGGAACTGTTAGTTATGGAGTTGGTTTGCTTTCTCACCAATCTAACTCTGCAGAGAATGGACAGCTGGGAAGGCTGTAAGTAACTGAATTCCCCTTGCACATAGAGGATCCCTGGCATCAAAGTCTGTGCAAGGTTAACATGCAAAGTATGCCCTGAGTGTTGAATGAGGGGATTGAGGGACACTGGAATTGCTCAGCAAAGGAGTCTTTGATCTAAAGTGTCACATACATGGTGAGGTAGAAGTGAGTGACATTGGGAAAATGGTCTCTCTAGGTTGGGAACAGCAGGGGAGGCAGGTGCTGGACCCTTACAGTGTGCGAGTCCTGAGTCCACAGCCAAGTTAGGTAAGTGAGGAGAGGGGGCTACACAGCCAGCTCTCTCTACGGGATCCAGAATGTGTGTCTGTATGGGGGGACAGCAATGGGAATGGGTGGAGCTCCCTTATATCTTTGGTAAAATGTACCTGTGTGGCTTCACCTGTGTGCAAAGGTAAATCTGGACAGCTTGGGAGATTGATCAGCACAGTGACGTGAGGAATATCCAAAGGGAACTTCAGCAAAAGGACTCTTGACAGTAGGGAACTTCAGCACGGAAAGAATTTGGCTGAAGGGAGAAGCTGGAAAAAGGGGAATCAGACTGAGCGATGGCTACGTCACTGCCTCCCTGGGTGACACGGGGCCTCTCACTTGTACCTCACTCAGCTTGATTTACTGCAGATTGAATGAAAAGTGCTTTGACATTTTACACTCGTTACTGTGTCACGTTGGCAATAAGATAGTTAAGGGTCTCCCAGGGTTTCTGTAACAAGCCCCTTATTTGTGACACTTGATTTTTCTCCCAGTTCAATTGCAGATGGCCTAAGTACGCAGGGTTTGTCAGCTCAAACGCGTTTGTGTTCCAAGGGGTACTGCGGAAATACAATTTATGATGATGGCTTATCATTTTTTAGAGCTGCCTAAGTGGGCCCTGTGCGTAGCAAACGAGATGTGGGTCCTGTCTAAAGGAGCTGAGTGGATGATTCAGAATCTTGCAATAGGTACTAGTTAAACAGCCCAACTGGAGGAGCTGCAGAGCAGATAAGAAAGCTCTTGGACATCAGTGGGAGTGGAAGGTGGTCAGAGTCTTGTAAAGCAAGGCCTGAAATGTTGCACAAACACAGATCCTGCTGCTGTTGAATTGGTATGTTGTCCTTGCACAAATTGCTGCTGTCCTGTGGAAGAGGCCAGTAGATGGATTTACCTCCCTCGTGCTCAGGAAAAAAGGAAGTCCTCATTTCAGTCTCTTCCTTTTATACTCCTCTTCTGGCTTATGTGTGATATATTCTCCTTCCTTTCCCAGCCTGTCATTTGACCTAACCCATCTGTTCCTGTTTCAGGTCCCCAGGATCTACTGGGAGCTCTCAACAAGGCGCGTCCTTCTCATGGAGTTTATGGAAGGGGGACAGGTGAACGACAGTGCCTACATGGAGAGGAATGGCATCAATGTCAATGAGGTAGTTTCTTGGCCATCTCTGAATTGGGCATGGTGGGAAATGCAAGGCTGATGTTGGCATCAACTGACGTTGATGCAAAACAGAGGCTGACAGGACAGGAGGGGGCAGACAAGGGAGCACAGATGGATGTGAACAGAGCAATCAATCTGAGAGATCTCAGTTCTTGTGCTTCTGGGAAAAGTATGTAACCCTTTTTGTGGAACAGTCTTTTGTACGCTGCGCAGCTAGAGAGAACTTTAAGGAGACAGTGAAAGATGTCCATGCTCTTATATTACATACACCCATGGTTTGTTCCAAGATGGCAGTTCCTGTTATCCTAAAAGAACAACTTCATCTTCTGATTCTTTTTTTCCCTCTTCTCCTCCTCTCTTGCTTCTGCATTAACTTTCTCCTTGGCAAATGCATGGGATGTAGCTTTTATATCCCAACAGCTATCACCTTATGAAGAAGATATAAATCAAAGGTCTTATATTGATCACCGTATTAGAGTGCTGGAGTCTCAGCCATGGTGCTTTGCATAATCCTTGGACATGGGTTGTTTTCTTCTGCTTTCCAAAATCTCCCTTTTTCTTCTGGATGCAATGGTTTTCTTCTTTGCTTCCTGGTCCTATATTGCTGTGTAGTTTTGCAGTCCTTCATTAAACAGCTGCCACATTTCATCCCCGGAGAGGCTACGTTTCCCTGATGAGTGAAATAATTTGTATGTGTGGCATGAAGTCGAGAGAGCACTTTGGATTCTCTGTGGCTGATTGATTCTTGAGAAAAAGAAGGTATAACTTCCCAGAAGGGGTGAGAAGATGCCTGGGGAAAGGGTTTTGAGCCATTGGACAGTGTGTCAAGCCACCCCCCCCCAGTCAGTGAGTGCTGATTGAGGCACTGCTGCTTGCCTTTCCCCTTGTGCCCTGTCGATGAGCCTCAAAGCTGCACTTGGTTGACTGGCTATCAAAGAGCTACGACATAAAATCCATTGTACTTAATCTGTCCATCCGCTTACCTCTGAAATCTGAATGCTTCCTCTATCTGCTCTTCCTCCTCTCTGTTCCCTTTCTGTCCATGGCAAAGTTTGTGTGGCATCACTTAGGGACATGACAAAAACCTCTCAAGGGAAGGGAATTGTGAGTTTGGTATGCCCCACAAGGAGAGAACATTAAGTGTATCTTCTCAGCTGCCTCCCTAAGTTAGCAGGCAGCTCTTTCTCAGTCTAAAGAGCTCAGACAAGTTACAGGTGCAGGACTGAGTAATGTGCCTGTTCCTCTGCCTTTTTGCCTCTTCTGCTCTTGCACCCGACAGAAATCATGAGACATTTTCTCGTAACTTCTGCAGGCAGAAAGGCAGACGCGTTGTCATGTGTTTCTCCACTGAAATACAGGAAAGGAAGGTCTAAGGTTAAAGTAGATTTTGAGACTGTCTTCCCATTGTAATTGTGATGAACAAGCCAAGGCCAGTGGGCAATACTGAATGACGTTCTCTTCTCTGCAAGACATCTGGTTCATTTTCATTCAGGGGACTTCTTAAATGAGTATAACCTCACCTGTAGATAGTGCAGTCTCTCTCCTTTCACACCTCCATCAGGAAGACTTTGGAGCATTTGGGTCACTGGTTTTCCTCTTCCCTCCCATCAGGGCATCACAGAAGTCATTGTGAGCTGATCAGAGGTAGACACAATTCCTTCTCTTTGTCTATTTTGTTCTGATGATCTTTCCTTGTATTTACCAAGGTAAGTGCCTCAAAGGTGCATCTGCTCTGCAGAGAGTACCATAGTGTGACTCATGAGAACATGATAACTCATGGACTTTGCGATCAAGAGAGATTTTAAAAGCCTGGTCTATGGCAAAACACCCAGTCAACTCCATTCACCCAGACAAAACAACTGGTCAAAACAAAGAGAGCCATTTCTTTGAGTGAATTTATCCTATCCTTTCCTTCTGCCATAAAAACAGAGGTCAGATCTAGCCCATAGCACTCAGATATGAGAGTGAGTATTCCTCAAGTCTTGAAATAGTCAGAAAGGCTTGATTTGATGCATTAGCAGGAGGACTCTTGAGCAATATTTACACTGAGATTTTGAGCTGGGCTTCCTCATAGTTCTTGGACAGCAGATCCATTCTGAGATCAAGGTAGCCAGAATAGTGTAGCTCCCTAGGACTTTGATTGCTTCTTTAAATTTTCTCAAACTTGCTGGAGATAGCAAGCTGTCTGGAGAAGCCCAGGGAAAAACATTCTTTGCTGTCTTCCATGGCTTTCTCCAGCCAGCCAGAGTGGAAAATTCAGTAACTGCAGCCTTTCAGTGGGATATTTTGCTGCCAGTATGTGCCAAAATAAAGTAGAGAAGCAACTGGTTTCAGTTTTTTCTAAATTGCAGAGGCTTTTGCTTGGGATAGGAGAGATTCAGGGTGAAAATTGAGCTCATATTTTTGTTCATCTCCCCCTTCGGGAAGGTTGTGTTGTGGCATCTTAGCAGAATAGGTTCCATGCAGCAATGAAACCACATACTTTGCTGATACTCAACTGGTCTCTAAGTGATGGCTAAGATGTAATTTAAAAAAAAATTGTCAACAGACTTACACTACTGCAAGTATAAGCCTCAGAGGTTTCTGGCAATCTATCAGGTATATGATGTTATTCAGCTCAGTGGTAGGACTGGACATTTCTGCAAATTGTCTCAGTGCCTGCGCTGAACTGTTCTTTCTTCCTTTTCTCTCCTCACCCCTCAAAACACCCTTTTACTGATTGCCAATAAAGCAACAGAGCAAAGGAGGTGATACCAAGTCTGTCAGAAGCCTGTGATGGGGAACAAAGTCTGTTATTATGACCACAGTAAGATGAGGTGGGAGCAGTGTGTGCCCCAGACTGCTCCTCTGGCAAGGTGCAGCAGATGGGGACAAATATGACTAAGGTCCATTATTGGCTGCTGCTGTTGATGCCCTGGGTAAAGAACTGCATGGCATGCTGGTGAAGTGAGCAAAAGGCAGCAGACACTGAAAGGAGCATGAGGAGGAGGTGGCAACCCAGGTTTAAAACTATGACATGGCTTATAATATACAGCAGTTCTAGCTTTCAGAAGATGCATTAGCTCCCTATAAATCACCGCAATCTATCTATCTATCAACCCCTCTATCTTACTCCATTTTGTTTTACTGGGAGGAGGAAGAGGAGTCTTCACTAAGCAGGATTTCTCTTGTGTGACAATGCAGCCTTGAAAAGCAAGCTGAGCCTCTCTCCTCTAAATGGAAGGGATCCCTGAGGTGAAAGCTCCCTTCAAACCAGGTTACTGACATTTACTTAATACCGTCTGTAGCAGGATTATCATTAAAGCTGCCCAAAAGCACATTAATCTCTCTGGATCTGTCCAAGCGCTGGATTGTAATGGCATTTAATCAGAGAAGGCTTTGATTTCTAAAGACAAGTGCAAACACTGAAATATCTGCCTGTGGAACAGTTACTTATTCATGTGCAAGTGTAGCTGAGGATGAGCATGCAGCTAGGATATTAACAGTGGGAGGGAAGCCTGGAGAGGGGAGTTATCAAGAAATGAGCTGGCATGAATTTTGAGAGAAGACCACGCCATGGCAGTGGTAAGAAGGGGGGCACCTGGAAACTGGGCTGTTCCTTTTTCAAGACACAAGAGCATTTACAGTCTTGGTTGGGAAGATACATTTGGAAGAGGTGGGTAGAGGAGGGAAGGGAGGAAAAATAGACTGAGGGGCTGTCAAGACGTTTGTAGCATACTATATGCAGGAGAGAAGGAAGGATAGCAAGGCTGCTTAGAGCGTGGACTTTTAAATGAGATCTCAGTTGGCACAAATGCTCCTTTTGCACCCATTCTGATTTTACCTGATTGATTTAGAGAGACCTTGGCTGTATACAAATTTACCATTATCTCTGATCTGCTGCATGAGTCCTCCATGTCCCAGCTTGTGGATGCTCTGCCTGTCTCCGCAGAGGCTGCTGGATCAGCAGGCTGTGGGAGCTGTTGAGCTTACAGATGCACTCGTGGCATGTGCTGTATTGCCTCCAACTAACCAGCCAGCTCAGGTAGCCAAGTGGAGAGTCCCCCATGATCATCCTGGCTTGGACTTGAGTCAGGGAAAGGAAATGATGCCATGTACTGCAGCTCACTAAGAGCCTGGTCATGAGCCGTGGATGATTCAGAAGTCAGGAAAGCGTTTTGTCCAGCTGAGAAGTGAAAGGAAACAGCTTAGGTACTTAAGATGAGCTACTGTGTGCAATTATTGCCATCTGTCACCCCATCCTACCGTGGCTTTTTGCTTCCGTCTGTTACTAAATGGGTTCTGCACTGGAATGGTATCTCTTAGCTCGATAAAGAGCCCAGCTACCTTCTTATGGTTGACAGCTTTGTAACCTGAAATATGCTTTCAGTGTGGGATTTACCCTTCTGCCAAGAGTCAGGAGCTGCTGCCTTGTAGCTGCTAAAATTTAAGTGGGATTTCCCAGGGTGGGATCCCTTTGTCACCACAAGTGTGGCAACCTCTCATGCCACAAGTGTTTGTGCTTATAACACTCAAGTGTTAGATGAAATGGAGCACAGAGAAGAACACTGTTTCTGGGGAAAATGGCTATTCTTGCTCTTTGCACCTGCTGATTTAGTTTGGGAAGAGGTTTCCTTGCAGATTCTCCTACATTTCCTCTTGTCTGAAGCTTAATGAAAATTCACAAGGCACTGGTAAGCAAGGGTGATGACCTCCAGCATTTCCAGCTTCTGAACTGTGCAAAGACAGCAGGTAAAAGAGTTAAATTACACATGAACCTGTTTCCTACTGAAAATCAGTCTCAAGCATCAGTGTCAATCAATTGCTTAAGTCTCAGCAAGATGCTTTACATTAAATCCAAGGAAGTACGACTATGTTTGAAGCCAAGGGAAGATGATCCCCATGGCCATTTTTGGTCTGACAATGATTAGTTTTCTCTACCTGTGTGCTTTTGAGAATCTATAGAAACTTACCAAGTTGGTCCCTCAGTTCCTCAGGCAGATGAGTCAG